GGTTTCGCCAATTCCTCGATATCAGCGCGCGTTTATTACCCTTTCCTCACTGCGTGAACAAGCTCCGTAACTCACGGCTCCGTTAAGCTCGCCCGCGTTGAATTTTCCACGTATTGTGCGTAAGTCCCAGTCTACAATAGAGATTTAAGCCCTAAGTCTTAAGAAATTGACTAATCACAGTCGCGCATTCTACTCATACTTGACCGTGATTGGCCAATTTCTTAAAGCTTAGGGCTTAAATCATCTATTGTAGACTGGGACTAATGTCTTATTAACGATACTTCCATTACGCGTCGCTGTATATTTACACTACTAATTGTTATACGTAATTAATTAATTTTTTCTTTTTCGAACCGCCTGAAGAGATTTAATGGTGTAGATTGCAGTCGCGGTGGAATACAATGTAACTCGCAACGGCGTTTACGGAAGATTGCTGTTAATTTCCCCTTGTACATTTAGCATCCTGAGTTACGTGGCGTGTTCGCAGCGGTTCGGATTAATTATACCGTAACCGCGGGGGTCGCTGAACCGCTGAAAGAATTTAGAAAAGTATCGCTCTGCCAATGGCGCACGGTCAGCGGATTATACGCGAATCCGTGACACACAATGTGCCTGTACAAGAGGCGGTACGTTGTTGCGTAACTCCATACGTATGTACAACGGCGCGCTTTGTCTTCGTTCCTTATCTCGACGGATCTAGGCAAGATCCAGTTAGGATATTACGACTCGTTCCGCGCGAATGTCATTACGAAACGCAGACGCTCCGTCCGTTAATTCGTCCATATGGAAAAATTAACAAGGCTGCAGCCTCAGCGCCGCGAATCTACAATATACGCTTGCAGTTATGCGAGTTCACTCGCGCACTGGGCCGCTCGAAGGAAGAGTCGCAGCCAGACGTGCCGCGGGTAATTGAGGCGACTTTCAATTTGCATCGTCGTCGCTTTGTTAGGGCTATTAACTTGGAGAGCTATTTACTCCGTGTGTACACGGACGAAATGTACGAGGGAACGTGCAAACGTCACGCGGCGGTCGTTTCGCAACGAGAACACGCTGCGCGTGCAGTTATCCTCGACTCGATACAGTTAATACACGTAGCACGTTAATATAGTTCTCGTCGCTGGAACTGACACCGCCGCTCTCTCGGCAATCGGGGGGGGGGTTCTCGCGGCAGCGATTCTCGCTCGGAAGATGATGTTCGACGAAAACAGGATGGAAAAAAGGGAGGAACGCGAAGGCGCGCTCCAACGCCCGGGTTCCACGCGGCGGAAGTCGCGTAGCGAGCGAGGCCTCGCGTGTCGTTTGCAAATTGCACTCGCTCGGGGGAACGTCTTCTTCGGCGCGCCTTTGTTACGCCCTTCGGGAACCCGACCGATTGTGAGTCAGAGGCGGAAAAAGAAGAGAATACCCGCGCCTGTGTGTGAAAGCCCGAGTGACGTGTACACACGTGCTGTTGCGCGCGGCGCGGCGGGGAGGAAAGCGCGCGCCGTCGCGAGGAGAAAGGAAAACCGGATAAAAGCGACACGAGCGGGGAAGGACTCGTTGTACATTTTTACGTGTCTCGCGCGTCGACACGCCGGGAGATTCGGCGCGTGTCCGAGCGAATCGCGACCAGGTAGGACGCGAGAGGAGACGCCTAAAAGGTCAAGTACCTTCCACTTCCGGCCCCGGCTTGGGCCGCGCGCTAACGCTTCATTCCGCTCGAGAGTAATGGCAGGCGCGCGAGATGTCGTGACGGAACCGCGTCATTACTTGGTATTCTCGGGTATCTATTGTGAAATTGATTCCAGATGATGATACCGGATAATCGCGGTCTTAATGACATAATGATAGAATTTGCAAGAGACATCCTCGCGGCCGTGCGCGATTATCCTTACCTTAGAGCTGGCGGCGGTCTTCTCGCGCGAGGATATGTCGCGTTTATAACATCCGACAAGAATATGTATTAATGCACGTGTTGGAGGAAAATCAAATTACTCAACTAGAACATTTAACAAAACTGAGAAAAAATTTCATCGGATAAACCGGTTAAACAGTGTTTTCGATGGTTACTTTTTCCGATTACGTTTTCCGATTAAATTATGGATACATCCGATGAAATTTGATCGTTAAGCCGATCATATTTGTCATCGGATATACAATTTAATTGGATATATCCGTTTGTTATTATGTAACTGGATTGTCCGATCATATTTAATCGGACATTTTTCTCAGTGTATGAAATTTATGTCCGAAAGAATATCCGAAATGCAGTTACCGATAAAATTTGATCGAAAAGTCGATCATATTCATCGTGGGATATACAATTGAATCGGATATATCCGTTTGTTACTATGTAATTGGATTGTACTTAATTAGATATGTTTCTCAGTTCAATATCGTTTAATCTCATTTGCGTCGCGAATGAGTTTTATTCCCAAAATTTGCGAATTCTCCAACTGCGCAGGTGAAAAGTGAAGGAGTTCGGGCGTCTTTCGTCTTTTCTGTCGTGCCTTTTACTTCGTCGAATCCGTTATACGTCGAAAAGCCGAAATAAATCGCGTGGAAGCATGAACGTGGCCGGTCGTCGACCCCTCGCGGATTCCGATATTCTCTCGGGGTCCTACCTCGATATTTCCGATGGCGGTCGAGACCCAAAGGTTTGCGAGGAGCGGTGCCATTTAGCTTTTCGCGTGCCGTTAATTGCTTCCCACCGCGATCGGGCGTCGTTCCTCAATTCAGTGACGAGGGAGGACATCTCAATAGCGCCAAGGAAACGCTCGTCAAACGTGACTTTTGAGAATTGGGACTTCCGTAATTATCCACCTTGCTCAAGATATGGACGCGAGAGAGAGAGATAGAGAGATAAGAGAAAGTAAAAAGTGAACTCAAATAGCATACTTTCTCAATACAACCGATCGCCTTCATATCGTTGCGTTTGATATTTATATTTAGACATCTCTTATCGTGCTCCTTCGTAATTGTTGAAAAAAAATTTCCTCCGAAATTAGTAGCGTCTCGCGGAAGAAAAAAGTAGAATATAACTTACGGAATAGAGGTTGAAATCTAACGAGCCGCACGGTGCAGATGACGAACGGGTATTTCGGATTATTCTAGCGGAAAGTATCTTCTTTCGCGGAAGCAATCATTGACACTTGGTCGCGACGCTTCCATCGCGGATAATGGCTGGATAAGATATTTCGCGACGAGAGCAGGAAGAGAGCGCCGAGTACACTCGACTCGTGACTGCCTATAAAGTCAAGCGAGTCAAGTTCACAACTCTCTCATCATTGTCTCCCGCGCGGGCTGATAATGATAATGCCCCGATGATTATTGTCATTACGACCCGCGCGCACGGGAGGAGGCATGCGAGTCTCCCAATTTACTCGCGCGGGCCCGCCGCGCTGCCCCTCGCTCGTCGCCCCGAGGTGATTCTAATGAATTTTCTGGAGCGATAATCCGCGGCCTCATTAGACGCGATGAATGTGCACGAGCGCCGTTTTAATCGCCCGCCGGTAATGGCAGATTTGGTCGATTATGTTCCCCTCCCCCTGCCCCGTGGCACTAACGAGACGATTTTTCCGCGCGCAAATAAAATGTAATATGCGAAATAAATCAGACATGCGTTTCGTTACGCCGCGATCACCGGGGCGGTAACGATGCACGAGCCGTCGTTGTTGTTAATGATAATCCATTCATTTCGCTACGTACGTTTAATTTCCATCGCTCGTAAAAAAAAGAGAAATACGCGATCTGACTCTGCAATTTCGCTTCTGCATCGCACCGCCGCGGCCGCGTAATACATTTAATTGACGTTCTCGTCGCTGATCGTAATGCGATCGCGCGAAGTTGATGAATTCGGAATTGCAACTCCAAGCGCGGCCGCCGCATGATTTCACGCTACAGATGCAATGCTTGCGCGTTTCGGTGCGTGAGTCGCACTTTTATTGCTTAATTATTAATCGGTGACGTAATCAAGCCCAGTTCGGTCTCCTATGCAGGCCTCGTGGTCCCCGCAGTTGTAATCGATGTCGATGATTCGCGATATCGAGGGGAAGAGATCCGCGAAGATAGTCGACAGTTCGCGAAAGGTCGACGAGATCCGGCTTGTTCCCCGCGAGAGCGATTAAACGGAAAGCGATAGCTCTCGCACAGACCCCGTCCGACCGTCTGTAACGATCGCGCGATCGGCACAAGTTTTGCTCATTTTCGCGTTTTACGATTCCCGCAAAGTGCGAAATTGCGCGGCGCGCTCGCTTTCGTCTCGAATATAATCGTTGCCCGCCGCACCGACCGGAGAATCTTCTCATCCTACGATTTCGCTTCACTTTGCGAACCGTACGCTCGCGACGGCGGGCCTGTGTTCGCGCCGCTAGACCGGGAAGCAATTTCGCCGCGGCGGAAATTTCCGTAAAAATCGTAAAGAAGCTCGTCGGGACTCCGCGTAATTGGAGCCGCTTCGCGCCGCGGAGCGTCTGGCGTTGTTCGATTCGCGAGTTATCTCGAAATCGAGAGCGATCCGTAACAGGTGAGCCGGGGTTATTAAACCTCGAGCTATTAACGGAGATTCGTCCGACGTGTCGGGCGTTAATAACGATAAATTGCCGTACGGCGAGTACAATGCCCGGGCGATACGGATACATGGGGGATCGTTCTCGATGGGTGTATCCGATTCGTATCGCCGTGCCTCGTTGCTCATTCAAGTATACCTGGCGCGTACGAATACCGCGCGCGGATATCGAATTAATTAATCGCGCGACGTAATCGCCGTTACGCTATTGACGCTTGAGAAATCGGCACGATGTTCGAAGACGCGCCGCTAATCTAACATTTGCAATCTAAATTCGATTTTATTGAATACTACGATGAAATCCATTTCTCAACCTCGGACTCGTAATTTAGATTTATTAATTTAATTCGTCAGATTTGTATATTTTGTAATTGGCTAGTGTAATGTGCACATCTAACATGTGTGTGTGTGTATACAATATGCATTATATATTTGTCGATTTGTAATTTTTCAGCGACCGCGGCGATAGCGAGCACCGTGCAGATCGAGTGCGCGAGCGAATCGATAATCGTTCACATCTCGACGGAGGGCAACACGGACTTCCACGGTCTGGTCTATCCGCGCGGCTTGTCGAAAAACAGTTCCTGTCTGCAGGAGTACAGAAGTCAGCCCGTGCCGATCACCTACAATCTGCCGCTCAGGTCCTGCAACACCATGCCCACTGAACTGGTGAGTTTTTTTTAGCCCCTACGAATCAAGAGACGCGGCAGTGCCTCGCGCCAGACGTCCAAACGCGAGGCGCAGAGTGTATCTTGCCTAAACCATTGAGTGGAGAGACGATAAATGTAAGAAGCAAAGGCAATATTGACTCAGGTTTCGCAGTAGTTTCTGCAGAGCTGTTGCTGCTGTTGGGCATTTGACGCGAATCTGATATTGGATGTAATTTCAATTGCTTTCGATTGCTATTGGTACACTCGAGGGCACAGTAGACGCTAGAGCTGACAGCCTCCGCTCGGCAGGAAATTGTTTCCCCGCGAGGAAGTGGTAGGCTGGGGAGTTACTCCTAAAGTTAATTCTTCAACTTTTCTAATTGCTAATTCAATTGCTTTCCCTCTTCGTGTTTACGGACCGATCGACAGCGGCGTAAATGATCGTGTGCAAGCCAATTAGATTATTGCCCATTATCTTAACAAGCGCCAGGGAATTATCGCGCGAGAGGAGGAGATGGGAGGAGAGTCATTATATCGTTGCATCACCCGTCTGCACCTTCGACCGATCGTTTTAATTCGGTTTATCGCCTCTCCACCCGTTTAAGTGCCTCGCGGCAATTTCCCGGTATCCGTCGGTAGCAGTAATTACCCTACGATTCCTGCTTTATGACAGACGCGGATCGAAATTATCCGAAAGGCACGATTAGAAGTTGAGGCGATGTCCGTAATCTTCGACTTGTGACGCAAGCCTTATTCGTTCCCCCTATTCTGACACACCTGACTCGAAACTGGACTTGTCGCGTCCGTCACGATATTTCGGGTCGGGACTAAAATCGTATTTGTCACGTACACCGTGAAAGTAAATAGAAATTGCACGAGCAACAAGTGTTAAGGTTAAGAGAATTTCACGCGCTATTTTTGCGCGCGATGAAATTTCGTAATTCCTAATCCTTCGGCGAAGGAAAAATTAGAATATGGAGGCAAGTCCTCTATTATGAGATAGTAAGTTTTCAACGTTCAAATTCAATCGCGAATCCTTTTTCGCAACGGTCTAAGAATTAATTTTCCACTAAACAGATTTTGCTCCAAGGGCAATAAATTCGTGGTGGAACCAACAGACGATGCCTATTAGTTTAGCAAAAACTCCGTTATCTCATATTAGGATCCTATCTCATAATAGGGGACTTTCCTTTAATGATTAACGTTATAATCCGTCTGTTAGAAGTCCAATCGTTTCTCACGTTAAAATATGTTTAAATATAAAAATGAGCAATAGAGTCGTGACGTTCGTTAAATTGTAGATGACGATTCTCACAGCACCACGATAAATCAGCAATTTAAAAGACCTCGGAATTCCAAATTGCGGCGTTGTCAAAGTACGACCGTAAGGAGGAAAGGATTAAGTCGTAGAAGACAAGAGAATGAAAATTTCCACATAAGAATTTTAACTATGGACAAATTAACTATGGATGACTATGAGAATTAGCTAATACAATCGTCGCTGCTAATATTGCGTGATGAAAATTAAATAGATAAACATAAACACTCGTTAAAAAGATGTTGGAGAATACCTGGAGGAAGGAAATCCTGTACGTAGACATAGTCTACGTGTAACAAGACGCGATATTATCGCAACAGTCACGCGAATAAGCGCTATTAACATGCCTAATGTTATCGCAACTATTGTTATTACGTCATTATGTCATCATTATTATTATTATCGCAGCCACAATGTGTACACACCGAGAGGGAAGAAACACGGTTGTTTGCGGTCGAATATCTCGACACGTATCGCGGTCGCTGCAACGATCGCGATCATCCGTACGTTCGTCGGCGATGAGAAAGGGGAAAAAAAGGGAAGGAAATATTGAGACGTGAATACACGCGCGAGTACACGCTCGAAGAAGCGAGGCGCATCAGCATTGGCCGGGGGGATAAGCAAAGTGGTAGACGGAAATACGGTGGCGATGGTGTGATGATGATGGTGGTGGTGGTGGTGGAGGACACGTTCGTGTAACGAGGGAATCGTGTGTCGAGGCAAGAGATCGCTTCCTCGCCATACCATAACTGGACCGTTATGTGACCGGACTTACGGCCTTCTTCTTGGCAGCGTTACGAGAGATATACAGGGTGTACACGGAATCAGAACGGGTGGCTTCCAATCGCGGCTCCTTCGGCTGTTTAGGCGGCTGTCTTTCCTGTCGGCGGGTGTCGGGGAAACGCCATCGCGTGATCTCGATTACTTGGATCACGGGACATTTTCTGTATAAGATCATTGTTGCCGGCAATTTTTCGTGTATCTTTGTAATTAGGCACTAAATGAAGGTTCAGTTAAAACCATAGTCTGCTTATAAGACAGTGGGGACATCTTCCCGAGGGAAAAGGATAGTATGAATTTGTCCAAATAAATGTCTATGTTTCTCTGACTCTCGTGACTCACGTCCACGAGAGAAAGATAGAAGCCTAAACAAATTTATACCCTCCTTTTCCCTTAAGGCCGAATCAGATTAGTAATTGCCGACTCGGATTGAATTGGGATTGGCGATTGGCGATTGTCCTCTAGCCAATGAGAGTCGATTAAACCGCTGGCCGCTTCGCTCTCATTGGCTAGAAGACAATCGCCAATCCTAATCCAATCCGCGTTGACAATTGCTAGTCTGATTCGGCCTTTAGAAGGATGCTACTACTCAGGGCTCCACTGCCTCCTAAGCAGTCTATGGTTAATATGTCTATGTTAAAACCCTTTTAAAATTATCCAAAGATTTGTCTACAAGCTGCCTCCTCTTTTCTCAAATGTGACTTGCTAGAAGCCTATTATTTTTAATTGCTGGAGAATTAATGATTACAATCGGAATGTTTCTGTCGAGGAAAAATTATTCTAAATTGGTCAAGATTGTAGTCACAGCGATGTTAATTGATTTTGACATACCCTGTATTCCATATGCGCGCAATTGAACTTCATGTCACGCCTTATGTCAGCGCGCACGTATTATATGCAAAACCGCTTGTGTTTGTAACGGGCCGCTGCTCAGTTCCTTTACCTATAACGTTAAAAATACATTACTTGTCTCTACAATCTCTAAGCATCGCAAAAGGCTAACAACAGGTTCAACGCCGAGATGATTACGATACGCGAGTATTACTGTATAAATTAATTTCGCAGCCCATTCTTTGTTCAGTTTCTCGAGGCAACATCAGAAACTGCATCTTAATGGTACCTCAAATGGATAAGTAATTACAGTACAGTCTCAAAATTTATCTCCAAGTTTACACCTCTCATAAATTTACTCCCGCGACACGTGAGAGATCGCCTTGCTTAGACACCGCGGTGTGATTTCGTTCGTTTAGAATAGCTGTCTACGCCCTCGGGGTTGATATAATGGAGCAGCGAACGTGTCGCGTGACGCAGAGACATGTGCTGGATTTCTAATCATCGACTTTCCCGCGGGCCCTGGCGAAGCCCTCATATAAATACGCATAAATGGTATGTCGAACGTTTCGACGTCTGTACAAGGGCGGCAGTAATCGCCGGGTGTGTATGTAACGCGCGACCGTGAATCACATTCGGCGTATGACTAACGCGATATCTTCGGCACAGAAGAGACGAGAGAGAGACGACGTAGCTCGCAGCTGCCGTTCCTTGTCCCCTTTTCTGCAACGCAGATGCCGGGGCACGCCGGAGTCGCTGACTCTTTAACGAATCGCTCTCTCTCTCCGATCGGCCGATAATAAACGCCGTGCGGATCCTCGAGGCGATGCGGAATCACCTCGGTATCCTCTCGGCATATCGATGATTAGAGACGTTCATCGGCCGCGATAATTATGGTGACGATAACGTGCTTCTCACGCCGTGAACTCAATCGAGGATGCTGCAGCTTAGAAAATAGTATACAGTACGTAAAACAAGCCGATTAATCGCTGGCTGCTTCACTCTCATTGGCTAGAAGACAATCGACAGTCCCAATCCAATCCGCGTCGACAGTTGCTAGTCTGATTCGGCCTTAAGGCACTAGGAAAACGTAATCAGGAATTATATTAATCGTCTGTACCCCTCTTGTTTGTTTCTGGGCGTATTGTTCTTCTAAAGAAGACAAGTGCCGTATAATTAAGAAGAAGAAGTCTATATCCCTCGTGTGAGTTAAAGTACACCGCGACCGAGGTAGGATGTGCAATTCCCGCGGATTTATATCTCGTAATACTTATCACGACAAATGCGCAAGCCGTTTCTGTTAGCGGAGATTGCAACATTACCGCTTAATTGAATTCACCGGATTTGCATTTATCGTTGCGTTCGTGCCCGAACGTGAATCGCACGATGCGCCGTACCGAGAATTCGCTTTGATGCAAACGCACCTGAGCGCGCGCCCGACAATTTTATTTACCCAACGTGCAATACCAACGTCCCGCGTCATCCACAGTCATCTCGGAAGGGCGAAAGGTGCAACGACGATGACGACGGATTCCCGTCAGGGGGGAAGATACTAGCTGGTTTCTCTCTCTCCCGGCGTCTAATGGCGGCAACACCTACCGCCGACACCGAGAGGCTGCATAATTTAAGGGCTGGCACGCCGAAGGGAACAATAATTCGCGGGCCGGTACGACGCGGCCGCTCGCTCATAAGACGAGGTCGGATAAGGTGAGGGGGAGTCTTTGACCTCCGCGTATACGAGCGGTTCCCGGTGATTCTCGACGGATCTCTGGCCGGTGTGGGCGTCGCGAACGCGAGCCATCGTGGGCAGTCGCGCCGTGGAACACACGTCGTACGTTTTCGCACGTGTGCGTTAAATCGACGTCATACAACTTCGGCGTTCCCGCATAAACTTGCGTCCGTCCGTCCGGTCGTCCCGTCCTCGGGGCTATGTTTGGACGGATGCAGCATTGAAACAATGTTAGTTTTTACAACGCACTCACGATTTTAATGGCGGAATATCCGATCTGTCTGCAGACGATTTTTCCTTAGCGAGAATGTCGCAAAATCTTCATCTTCTCGCAGTTTCCCTGCAACTTTCCCATGTATCT